GATCGTTTGAATCAGTATATCTATGTTTAAATGAAGACCTGAGTGTTTATTATGACTAAAACAGAACTTCAGATTATACAAATACTACTTAGTTCAAATAAGCATCAGAACAACAAGCATTTATATGGTGAGATTACAATTTCACAGATTTATTTCTAGAAAAATTTTTGATAGAAGGTTTCATTTGAAGAAGAACGAGTATTACCTTAGTCACAATAAATAAGTATGAATGCACTTAAAACTAAGAATAATATTACATGACCCTATTATATGTTTTAGAAAAACTAAGTTAGCAGCCCATCAAATAGTGTTGATCATTTATTCAAATGAATAATTGGTAAATTTATCATTTCTTTGTCTTTATGATTGATAGCTTCATCAATAAATCCATCTTTATTTAAAATAAAATTGTTTCCTATCCATACAATAACCTGTTAATGCACTTTGATTATTGATATTGTGGTAAAAAAAAATCACAAAACTATTCTTTTACTGGGAGATTATATGAGTGCGTGCACTCAAATACTCGAAATACATTTTGTTAAATGTAAATATAGCTTGAATTTATTGATAACAGTGATTGGATGAATAAATTCTTAACCAGTATTGAATATTGACCAATTTTGAATATCCCTCCTTTAAATATCCTCAAATATCACTTTTATTTTCTATAGTGAATATTCTGCCAATAATTCAGATTTAAAAAAAAAATTTATGACTGTTTTGAAGTCCTCTTACACTTTTGTGATATCGAATAGCAATTTCTAGATAGTCTACTTTAAATATTTTTCACGGAATTTGTTTGTCGAATTCAAACTATTCAATTTAGATTTAATTTGTGATTATTTGGATTATCCCGTTGTTGATATTTCGGTTGAATTTTGATCAGTTTTGGCTAGCATCTGTGCACCCTGTGCGAGTGACCCCATTATAGCCACTGATAAAAAACACCTAATGAGTTGCGAATAGGAAGAAACGCGCACCCTGAATTCGACTGCTAGCTATATTCCATTTAATCTATTGTTTCTCAACCACCTGAACTAAAATGGGTTAGTAGGTATCATTACCAAGGTTTGATTTGATAATTTCGAATAAATTGAGCATTGGGTAGATTGTTATAAACAAATATATTATTTGTTTATAAAATGGGTTAGTTAATCTAGTTTATCCAATCTATCAATCCAGTATTTCTCCTTTAATCTGTACCCCTAAATTAATAATAATAAAACATCATATCTAAACACATATTCATTTCCTCAGCTTTGACTCAGTCTTTTTGTATGGATAAATAATAGAGTAGCACCAGACTGCTCGAACCTAAATAAATAGAATTCACTTTATAAAATTCAACTGTTTTAATTGCTGAAAAACAGTTCAACCGTAGATCCTGATGAAAAAATAAAAAATCCCAATTCGTAAATAAAGACAGCTACTAAACGAAATCTAAACAAAGTTATATGTAGTCCGTTTTACCATAAACTGAATAATGAGTTACATTTTCCGATAGGTTTACAAACTTCAGACACTAGTACCTGACTTTATACATACATGAACAATTAACGAGATCGAGTTGCTTTCTGTTTGTTACGACGGAATTAAAAGTAACAACATTTTCATTACCCTAATTCTTAGAACTAAGTGATAATAATATTTTGGTTTATGCCCGTATTAAGTGTTTCACAACAAAAGTTAACAATGTTATGCTGAATGAAATTTTAACTAAAATAATTAAAAAGTGAAAATTCAAAATTTTTTAGAAATGAGATGAAAATGACTGCTTCCGAGCACTGCTAAGTTGTATCTCCTCATTTTCGTAACTATTTGACTGGTCTTCCTGGTCTCCCACATTGTTCGGATATTCCATGTACCTATATTAATGGTTTCTCTGGATATTAGAAGGGTCATCGGCCTCGTGACTTCCGAAGAATCTGAGCTTTCATCATGAGGTGTCATAATTCTTCCTTCAACCTGGAGGGGAGAGTTTAAATTATTCAATCTGGTTAGCGCTTTTTAACAAGGTTGTTTTCTACGGGATGAGGTTGCCGACTCCATGTCCAACCCTCCTCCTTCACCTCGTCTTGGGACATGCAGCAACTCTAGAAGAGCTACGGGCGGAATTCTGAAAAGGCATGGCTCATAATAATTAAAATACTGGATCCAGGGAATCGTATTGACCACTCCTAATTATTCTTTCGTGAATACTATATAGTTTTAAGAGCAGTAAACTCACAATATTGATTTAATACTAATTCGACCCAAAATGGGGTCTAATCATATTGTTTCAATATATAATCTGGGAATGGTAGTCATCTAATTTGACTCGTCTAACTAAACATACTCAAGTCAAAGGCATATTTGAAAACAGTTATTATGTAGCGAAATACAAAGCACGTAACGAATATACAGACATCTTTCGAAAGTGTTCATGATTTAATGCGTTAAGAATCAAGCAAATTAGTAGAACGAATTCTAAGTGTTTACTTGTATGATTTACATGTACGTCAGGTTTGTTACTTAACAACCAGATATATTTAAATATCACATGTTGAATGCATGTGTTAAGACGAATAAATTTTGGACTGATAAAAGTCATAAACATTTATGTATTAATAAAAAGCTTAAGTCGTATGATTTCCATTACATAAACGATCAGCCGACTGAAATCCGGAACTTTACCACCTACTACTAATTCTGATCAGTTATTCAGTCACAGATACTATAAAAACAAGCTTTCTTCCCAAACATCAGCGCAGCTAGAGTGAATGTTGACAAGATGAGAAATACAGAAGGGAAAGAAAAATGATATTCAATGAAATACTGTTTAAAAAGAATGAGAGGAGGAAAGTTGGGAATTACAGTACAGTAGATAGAGAATGACCGCAACTGCACTTCTGTAACCGATTATGAAACATATCATACAGTTTCCAATCACTGATTATAGGTAAACTATGGTACTCGAACAGAAGGCCTGCAACAACTGAAGTGTTTCGATTCAATTGTCAATCACATGATGGAATGATGCCACGTCATGGTTTGGTCACCCGAAACTATCTAATCAACTCCGACATTATCCGATGTAACCAGGAGTCGTAGTTTGTTGTAAAACATGAGTAAATCGTATCCAACCAGTGAAAGCAAATCGAGGAATATTTAAATACCAGTTAAATGAAAGACGTAGGAATGAAGAGAACTTCAAATCACCACTTGATAACCGCTAAGTTCACGCTGAAAACTCATTAAAAATCGAACAAGTAACACTATAAAAGTAAATACAACATATGTTCGAGATGCTTAAAACTCCAGTGAATTCATGATCGCTCCTAGCAAGAAGTTTCAAGTCTTACAAAACCTATTAGAAGACGAAACGATTATGAAAAACAAATGGAAACGCACAAAAAAAATTCAACAGCCCAGGAAGTGCAGGGCCACAAGAAGAATTAGCAGAAAGAATGGATCTTTATAGATACCTCCGGAAAGAATAGAGAAAGAGAAAACAAAAAGACAGAAACATCATACACACAGTTCCTTTTGTCATTTAGAAAAGAGCAAGAACAAAAATTCTAACAAAGTAGCATGAACCCATTTTCTTTCGTTGATTCTCATCAGCTGCTTACAAACTATAATATTGAAGACATAATTACGAAATTAGGATTCCTCTATCCACACTGTCAAATGCTTTCTCATAGTCAATGAAGTTGACATATAGTGACGAGTTCCACTCAATTGATAGTTCAACAATGATCTGTATTATCGCGATTCGGTCTGTGCACCACCGATCCTTACGGAATCCAACCTGTTGATTTCGAAGTTCGGTGTCTACTGAATCTTTAATCTGGTTCAGAAACACTCTGTTGAGAACTTTTCCCGATACTGATAGTAGTGTTCCCTCGGTAGTTCTCACACTTGCTCAGATCTCCTTTCTTCGGTATCATGAAGAGGTATCCTTCTTTCCAGTCTGTCGGCATTTGTTGTTCCTCTCAAATTTTCCTGGATGGAACGTGAAGTATAGATGCAGTTGCCTCAATACCTGATTTCAGTCCTTCAGCTGGTATATTTTCAGGTCCTGCTGCTTTCCCACTCTTGATTTGTCTGATGACCGGTCATCCTGATTTATTCGATCGTTGATGGAGTGACGACTATGGGAATGTATGGATTCAATGGAGCTGGCCAATTCCAGAGTTTCTCAAAGTGTTCTACCCATCTGTTCCTCTGTTCTTGAATCTCAGTGATTATCTTGCCTTCTTTGTCCTTGACTGGTCGCCCTGGTTTACTATATTTCCCTGCTAGTTTCTTCGTTGTGTTATATAGCTCTTCCATATCTCATTCTGTTGCACCTTTTTCCGCTGTCGTCACTAGGCCTTCCACGTATTTCCACTTGCCAGTTTTAATGCTCCCCTCCATCAGCTTATTTGCTTCAGTGTATTCAATCTGTGCCTTGACTTTCTCTTCTCGTGTTCGTCTGTTGTTTATTGCTGTCTTCTTGTTCTTCCTATCTTGAATCATGTTCAGGCTTTCGATAAAGATCCATTCAATATAAGGGGAAGAGCCTCCTAACACATTGAAGCTAGTGCTTATTTGATACCTTCCCAGTCATTCTCCATAATAGTTTCTTCTTCCTTCAGTAGATCCCGTAAGGTTCGGAACCTGTTGTTAGGAGTTATCATGAATTCGTTAAATTTGTCAGTATCTCGAAGGAAGGCTGTATTGAGCCTTTGTACTTCTGTTTCTCCAGTTGTCTAGTACTTCTTCGGCTTCAGTTTCATTTTGGTCACATCTACGTGGTGATCTGAAGGTATGTCAGCTCCGCCCTTGGTTCTCACGTCTTCCATTGACCTTTAAAATTTTTTAGCATTGTAACTGGTTAGATGGTTAGATGCGCAGCGTTTTATTGATCGATTCAGTGACAAGTAAAACACGTAAGGACGACCTAGTGTCCCGATTGGTCCCGCTCCCCTGTCTAGCCCAGCCAGTCGAATCTAGAACGCAAGTCACAGCCTCTGAGTTATGAATCATTGTATTTCAGACATACTCTATTTATATACTAACCAAACAGACCACATCGTACTATAAAAATAGAAAACAACATTTGTACAATATTTAACGAATGAAATAAATAATGGCCAATAGGGAATGTCCATTTAAGGTCCAAGGACATCATTAGACTTAACATGATAATGATTGGTATATTATTCTGCATCCATAACACCCTTTTTTTGAAGATCCGGAGTTGATATCCGGATTTCTAAAATTTTCTACGTCCGTCCTCCCCCGCGAAATAATGTTGGGTCATCATATACCCAAGTAACAGTTAGTCTGATTCTATTTAAAGCATATTTCCGGCATTGGGTAGAGCGTCCACTAGAACTGACTAGATGATGAGGATCAGCGACACTAGATATGAGGTCATTAGGGTTTGATTCTTGTGAAACATGTTCATCAGACCTCTTCAAAATTCCATTAGTGGATAATAGATCACTAAAATAAACAGCATCTTTGAAATTTGTATTAGATTTCTGACCATTGATTGATGCATGGGACACATTTTCTGGCACGACGGGTTCTTCTTGTGAGCTGGATGCCTCACTGTCTGTACATGTTTCGGGCACAGTGGGATTTGAACCCACGACAGGGCATATTTCTGAATTGGACATTTCTGGATCGCTGGACGGATCATGAGCGACTGCCTCGTTTGCATTACTGACCATCAGGGATTCATAGAGGCTTTTGTTTTCATCTTCATACGTCCTGCAGTCATTTTCGAGTTCAGTATGCAAGTGAGAAATTAATTCATCAGTTTCTTTCACATCTCCGGAACATGGGAGATTTAGCAGTCGCGTGCGTAAATTGTCCGAAATATTCAACTGGCTCTCTCTGAAACGCTGCTGTTGACGATCAAGTAGTAGCTGCAATTGATCGGGAAGGATAGTCATTTTCTGAATCAGCAGGGTAATGAGAAATACTGTGATCAATCAACAACCAATGAATTCCAAGAACACCAACGATCAATCTGAATGTTGATTGGCAAAAATAATTAGGTTGAATCTCGTCCAATTACAGGGTTCAAAATTTTCTCTACCCCGTCGCCAATTGTTGTGACGGGTGACCGCATCCATAACATTTAGTGATACAAATATGATCTACATGGTCCTCCGTTGTGTAATCCAGTGAAAGACATGCAGCTTTATGCATGTGTTTGTGTGGGAATGTTGTGCCGCCTATAATCATTTTGTTGAATGCACATAGATTTGCAAATCTTCCATCGCTTTCGTTTTTTCTCTCAGTTCATCTCGTCTCATGATATCTTCATAACCGTAGTTTTCCGTTCCAACTTTGGCGTTTAGATCTCCCATTAGCATTGTCAGGTCCTTTCCTGGGCACTTCGCTATGATTGATTGCAGCCTCTTGTAAAACCGATCTTTATCGTTGTCATTTCCATAATTGGTGGGTGCATAACTTTGGATAACATTCATTGTAATTATCTTCTTCTTTGTTTTGAAGGATGCTTTGATGATCCTGAATCCATGAGATTCCCATTCTATGAGCCCATTTCTTGCTTCTTTGGACATTAGAGCAACTCCCTGAGTGTGTGCAGTATTTCCTTCCTCGTGACCAGAGTACAGTAGCAGCTCTCCTGAATCAGTCCAATGGGTTTTGCTGATTCCGAGTACTGCTAAGTTGTATCTCCTCATTTTCGTAACTATTTGACTGGTCTTCCTGGTCTCCCACATTGTTCGGATATTCCATGTACCTATATTAATGGTTTCTCTGGATATTAGAAGGGTCATCGGCCTCGTGACTTCCGAAGAATCTGAGCTTTCATCATGAGGTGTCATAATTCTTCCTTCAACCTGGAGGGGAGAGTTTAAATTATTCAATCTGGTTAGCGCTTTTTAACAAGGTTGTTTTCTACGGGATGAGGTTGCCGACTCCATGTCCAACCCTCCTCCTTCACCTCGTCTTGGGACATGCAGCAACTCTAGAAGAGCTACAGACGGAATAATATGGAGAACATATCAGTATTTGCATAGTCACTTTATTAATTAAGTCAATATTTCAGTCCTATTCCTTTTTAATAGGGTAGTGTAAGCCATTATTTAAGAATTAGTACTCAATGTGCAAATTTCGGTTGTTTATACTAAGATCGGTACCTCATTATTTTGTTTGTTTCTGAAGGCAGTCAGATGTTCTTTACATAAAATATTCGACTTTGGTGTCGATGAAATGAAATATTGGTTGGTAATCTCAACCAACTGTGATTCTCCACATTCATTGCATGCAAATGTCTTAACTGCTCGAACAAATTTTTGAATCGAGTGTTAGTTATATCCATAACTAATCAATCAGATCGTCGCTTAAGGTCCCAACACGTCAACACGTTCAATAACCCAACCAAAGTTTAACAAGCACTCCTTTCGTGCTACCGCCACTTTTGTTTATAAATTTACGTGCACCTGCCAAAGCAGCTACATTGGCCGAACAGAAAGAAGTGCATGTCTTAGATTTTTTAGCATGTTCCAACAGCAACGGTAGATAGTAATCCTGAAAGTTTGTTTATCCTTTCATCCGATCAGTCGTACATTTGCAACCCATACAAATTTTTATTTGCTGTAGAACCACTGGTAAAAGTCACTGGGACGCTGGTATAGTTTTTTGCTCTAATACGGACTCAATTTCGGAATGCATGTTATCTGGGTCGGAACCGCCATTGTATGGGAATCTTACATACTCCAAACTCTCAAGGCAAAGATGACTTCATCATTGTGTTAATTCGTAAAGTCACTGAGAAATCATAAATTCCGTTGTCTTTACTTTTTCCCACTATAATTGCTCTGAGTCTAACTACATTTTCTAACAAACTGTATGATAACTTGCATTTTAAGGTCATGTAAAATTCTTTGAACCAGTAATACTTTCACTCCTATTACTTTTCCAGATATCAAGTGCTCTCTCATGAAAAGCAGTATTATTTTCAATCCGATAATTAATCAATATGTCATTTCTGTAACCATGTTAGTGTGCTACATATGTCGACAGATATAAGTAGTATACAACACCAATCGCAAGTGGAATGCCTGGCAGCAGAAGGATGAGAAGATCGAATAGAAATGAACGCGAACAGAGAGTGATTGGTATGGAAATGAAGGAACAACAATTCTGAGACAATTGATGGACATTTTGCAAATAAAGTATTGAACATATAGTATTCAGATTTTACCAAATAACTGTAATTTTGTGTTCAAATACATTTGGTCGATGCCAACTGTTTTCGTTTATTACAATAGTACCTGACATGTACAAAAGATAACATAAGCATTAAATTACATGTTAGATCAATTGTGCATAAGAACTCAAAGGTGAACAGTTAAATAAAGCGATTATATTGAACGTTTTAACAGTAAACATGTTTCTGTAGTTAATAATTAAGTCACATTTATAGCTAAAGCATACAACATTAGCCGACTGATGAGACCAAAGTACATCAGTACAATTAGGTATTAAGAAGTAAGGATCCGGAAAAAGTACGTCAAAATTGGGAATCCAAAATAATTTTATGATATAACAAGCAATAAAACATTTTTTACGTTGGTAAACTAATTTAAAGTTTCAAGAAAATGTGACCCATAAAAATTCAAAGAATTACATTCGGAAAAAATCAAATGTCCCTTTTAAGATAACAATGAGTACATGTCTTAAACAAACAATAACAATATAAATGATCACAGATGATAGCTTAAACTGAGATTATATTACTTTTCCGGTTGAACCAAAAGACGTAACAATTATGGATTGAGAAAAATACTGGAATGTATAATACTTGAAAAATTACGAATTACTATCATATGCCATCAGCATCATCATCGTTGGTAGCAAACTGATTTTCATTATTTGACCGAGTGAGAAGGCAGCCACTCCGAATAGAATTGCTTATGTGACCATCAGCATAAGAACTATGAACCCCATGATCTGATCGATCTGCATGGCTTTGAAAAGTAGAACTCACAGACATAGGAGCAACATTTTTGTCGACAGAATAAGCAGTAGGATTGCAAGATGGTACTGGATTCACGTGACCTGTGCTTAGCTCTAGGAGTTGTAATTGACGCAAATTGCCTGATTCTATCAACCATTGTCGAAATCTCTGATCCACAACGGTGCTAAAACTATGACGTTGATCAAGGGTTAACCTTGCATTCTGCAAATGAAAAGATCGAGACTTATAGCTATCCGCCACTTTATTTGTAAAAGCGAATACACAACACAAATTAAGTACAAAGAATAAAAACAGAATTATTAATATTTTTAAAAGTTCATGTTTTCTCTCTGCTGATATTTCAGGGAAATTCAAACCATTACAAATGACAATAATTATCATACCAGTTGAGCGAGTTTTGGGATAACACGATTCAGCTACCTAGTGAATAAAATATTGCATTCTGAAGTGATAAGTACTCAGTTCGGATTGTTAATATAAAGGTTAATAATGTAAAGCATATTCTGGATTCAACTGATAATCCATACTCAAAGTATAATAGAAATGATGCACTTTAATAGACCGGAAACATATCCAGTAGAAACAAACCACGATATGATAACAAACTCATATGCCAGTATAATATAAATTGAGCCATGAGATAAGAAGCGTAATACAGCAGGCTTCCAAATGAAATTATCCAGTGGCGAAATAATAATAAAGAACCCCTTTTATTCACTATAACAAATACTTTATGTCACAGATGTCTACTCACAGTATTTGTTTGGTTATGTTGTGAACCAAATTTTAGAGATGATTTTCCTGTAGACAAATATTGAAACGATCTAAGAGCACATTCATTTGTACAATAACAACAATATGATGTATTTATTAAACTGTATTGGTTCTTCGAATCTTTTCATTGATGTTTAGGACTGTAATTCATCAGTCATTTTTGTCATCTGTGCATCGTCTGTAGATGGCCTCGATATTCCCATTAAGTCACAAACATTATCAGCAGGGGTAGATGGTGGCTAGCAGTAGAATCCAGGAGGCGCGTTTTATTCTGATCAATTGCAGTCCTGAACATTGATGGAAAAATTCAAACGACCAATACAAAAAATTAAGCTTCACTCCATTTTACAAGCCAATAGCTACATGGACTTAGTAGCCGAGTGGGTAATGCGATGGCCTTTGAAGAGAATGATACTGGGTTCGAGTCCAGCATTGACCGTCAACTCTCAGGTGAAGATACACTAAGCTAACAAGTCTCAAATGGGACGAAACGCCCGGCCTTGATCCTATGGTTACCCACTATTCATCTCGGCTTATAATGTAATGGATTGTTGAGTAAACAGTCTTATAGTGGAATTCACAATCACCATAGATTTGAATAGTCCTTTGGAAAATCGGGAATCGAACAAATCTTCAAAATAAAAATAGAGTGGTAGGTCGAAAACAAATCTAAATAAATTCACAAAACAGAAGTTTACTTGTTACCAAAAATGCTAAATTGCATTAATAGGAATGTTTTTTATGAAACTAACCATAACATGTTGAGGCCACTTATGATAAGCTCCAGCCCTTTCATGTAAAGCAATTAAATAAGCGGAAGGCAATGGAATTGGTAAAATGTTATTAGCCATGGAAATATAGTTCTCTAAACGTCTTTCATCTGAATCGCCAAAGTATCTGGACGTATTCGTTATGAGTGATGCGCTCAAATCCAGACAGTTAGCCGTTTGAGGATTACCATTAGGAACAGCTTCTTCAGAACGAGTATAATTTTCACCGATCGGGTTGCGGTCCATACTTTCACCTCGAGTAGAGAGCAAAAGTGGAATATTAAACGGATAAAAATGGGCGGGTTGTAGTAAGTCCCAGCAACGAACTCTGGATGATTGTTGAGATGAGTCTTGACGACTAGAATCTTGTCCTGAAATAAACCGTTGTCGATAAATAGTCATATAAAAAAGGACAGATAAATGGTTAAAAGTAATAAGTCCAAATACTTATCACTAGAGTTTAGGGTAAATGGTCACTTAACCCCATAAGTGAAACACACTATAATTATCATAATTAACTAAACCATAAAATGCGATTCAGCTTCCCAATTTAAAGAAAATCCATAAATGGTGTTTGAAAAGCAAACTAATTTTCTCCAATACAACTTTATAAATAGCATAAAGAGTTAAAATCGAAATGCAAGAATCCTAAACTCAGTATCCCAGTCCTTGCACAATAACTTATTCATTTATATCTGCTATCCCTCAAAGGGGTTAACATCTCAAGGTCATTTAGTGCCATATTTCATTCACACCGTACTATGTCATTCTATTCTCCTGCTCTGGTTATCACCCCTTTTTTAATATTTCAGTATGAATTTACCGGAACAGGAATACATAAATCAAACTTGTAAATACGACGAGTATAACGGACCAGTAGAACTCAGTCAATCAGTAACAACGTAGAACTTCGTAATTACGTACGTCAGTTCGAGTTGCCACACCACATTAGCACAGAGATGCAGTGGTCAATTCAAATCCCGTAGTGGTAGATGTAGTAAAATTATAAGCTGTAATCAGAAAAATTAGGGTTTGAGGACGTTATTCAAGGAGTATAATACAGTGAAATCAATTTGGAAAGAGGAAAAAAGGGAAACGACAAATTCAGAAGATTAGAATTTGGGAGAACACAAAGAGTGGATGCACCTGTGCCATTGCAAACAATTTTGAGCCATGTCATTCAGGGTCTCTAACCATCGATTGCTATCATCTCGCGGTCCCCAACCAGGTAGTCTACACCTACCAATATGACTCCGTCCACTTGTCAGTGACTTCATGGACTTGTGCCAAGTTTTGGTCTGGCCGCCCCTGGTTTTCTTCCAACCTACTCCTATACTACTGACAATCGCACGTCAGTCAGTCAGTCAGCTACAACGTAGGACCAGGCACATATGTGCATCGGTCCAAGCTACCATACCTCATTAACACAACAAGATGAACACCGGATTCATAAAAGTAGTTAGTTCAGAGGTAGTAATATATAAAAGAAAGATTACATATAGAGATATAGTACAGGAAGAAAGAATTAGTTCATAGAAAGAAAGATATGAAGCGATTTTAATCTCTTAGTTTAAGGGAAGACCGAGAGTGTATACACCGACGCCATTGTGATCGATACTGAGCCATGTCACCAAGAGTCTCCAACCATTATTTACGATAGTCACGCGGACTCCAACCAAGTAGTCTGCATGTACCAACATGGCTCAGACTACGAGTTAGTGACTTCAAGCACTGATGCCACGTTTTGGTTTGGCCGCCCCTAACTTTCTTCCAACCATCCTGAACACCGTTCAGCATTGCACGTCGTGGTAATCGGTGTTTAGGCATACGTAACACGTGGCCCAACCATCTCAGTCGATGAAGATTCATAACGTCATCAACTGATTTACCATCATTTCCTAATACCCTGCGTCTAACCTCACTATTAATTAACTGGTGATCCCAGCAGACGCCAGCAATATTTCTAAGGCATCTGTGGTCAAATACTAGTAGCTTACGAGTGTCTTCTACTCTTAATGGCCATGTTTCGCTGCCGTAAATTAAGACAGAACGGACTGCCGCGCAGTATACTCGTCCTTTTATTGATATACGGATATCTCTCCTACGCCATAAATGACGCAAGTTGGTAAATGCTAGTCGAGCCTTCTGTATCCGTGCTGAGATTTCGTCATACACCAGACCATAAGGGCTGATGAGACTTCCAAGATAAATAAAGTTGTCAACGCGTTCGACTACTTCACTCCCTATCATTAGTTCGGGTGTCAATGCAACACAATCCTGAAGCAACATTTTGCATTTCGAGGGGGAGAATCGCATCACGAACACGCTTGCATTGTTGCTTAGAGTGGTCAGAAGACTGCATTTTGTCAGTGTCTTCACTAAATAAAACTATGTCATCTGCATATTCTAATTCAACAAGTGAACCTCCCGGTAGAAGTTCAACTCCTGGAAATTTAGACGAGGAAAATGTTATCTCTAAAAGTACGTCGACCACAAAGTTGAACAAGAATGGAGAGAATGGACAGCCCTGACGAACATCACTTGAGGTAATCAATTCTGATGACAGTTCACCATAAGCTCTCACTCAACCAGTTGTGTTCGAGTACAGAGCCTGGATAAGGTTAATGTACTTCTTTGGTACTCCTTTCAGTGACAAACATTGCCACAGAACCTCACGATCAACAGAGTCGAATACTGCCTTAAGGTCGAGAAATAATACGATTGTGGGGCGTCTGCGTGTGTGTCTATGTTCTGGGACCTGACGTGAACATCTGGTCTATACAACCACGTCCAGGTCGAAAACCAGCCTGATTTTCTCTAGTCTGCTCTTCACGAGCTCTAGTTAGGCGTCGAAGTATTATTGAAGCTAATATTTTAGACACTAGATTTGTCAAACTGATTCCTCTGTGATTGTCACAAGAGAACTTTTGTCCTTTCTTATAGACTGGCACAATCAGTGGGATTACATGGGATCACATCCAGTTCCCAAATTCTACCCAAGACCTCAGTTAATCTCGCTGCCGATACTGGACCGCCATTCTTAAAAATCTCAGGAGTAAACCTGTCAGGACCTGCTGCTCTCCCACGCTTCAGACTTTCTATAGATTTTTCAACTTCGTAAAGAGTTGAAGGATTTACATTAACTTCCCATTCAGGTTGACTGGAGATCTTGGGAAGCTGAAGTATGGCTGAAGACTAGTTGAACTGATCCTTTAAGTGTTCTGCCCATCGATCCAATCTCCTGGATTGAGAATGAATAATATGTCCATCTTTTTCCGAGATAGTTTTGCTAACAGTTGCATTCCTAATACCGGTTTCCTTGACAAGTCTGAACAGTTGTCTGCTGTTACCTATTACCGCTGCCTTTTCCATCTCTTTTGCTTTCGCTACCCACCACTGTTCACGATCATTGCGTAGACTTTTTGTCACCTCGCGCTTAAGCTGACTCCGCTCCTCGTTATGTTCAGAGCCAGGTGAAATGAGTTTCCGAGCATCTATCAGTGCGATAGATGCTGCTGAGATCCAGTGTTTCTCCCTAACCTTACATGTTACCGTACTAGCAGATATCACTGCTGTTTCCACAGCTTTTCGGATATCATTCCATGCTGCCTCGGGGTGGGCATCACCTATATGGCTGCCTAACTGTTTTCCTAGTTGTCCCTGAAATATACTTTTAGCTTGACTATCATTAAGTAGGCCCCTAAGAGGTTTCCTTGCAGCGTCTTTCCTACGTCCAGTAAGACGCAGACAGATACGCGCTCGCACTAGAGCATGATCTGAATCTAAGCATGTGCTCCAGAATGAGCGACAGTCTTCTATCGAGCCCCTCCATCGGTGGCTGATAGTGATGTGATCTATTTGGGTCCAACGTTGGGACGTATTCGGGGGTCTTCATGTTAAAATATGTTTTTCCTTATGCTTAAAGTTAGTATTCACAAGAAAAAGGCGGTTATCTGAGCATAGCTGCAACAGACGGTCGCCATTATCTGTTCTTTGAACCAAGATGCTATAAGATCCACCCAGGTGTCTTTCCCTATCGCCTGGTTTACCTACTTGAGCATTAAGGTCACCGGCCACTATTACTACATCAGAGCGCCTAGCTTTTCTGAGAAGGTCGGGAAGCTTTCTGTAAAACTCATCTTTTACATCGTCTGAGCTGCAGTCAGTGGGAGAGTAGGCAGAGACGACGAGTGTGCCTATATTTCCGAGACCTTATTGTTCCGTTTAGTCGGACAGCGCACAAACGACTGTCTACTGGGATCCACTCTAAGAAAGCTAGTTCTGTCCTAGGACTCAATGCTATACGTACGCCAGCAAGGCCACGGGAAGCAGAATCAGGGCTTCCAGATACACGAAGTGTGAATCAAGTTGGTTCTTTATTTTGGCATGGTGAGGTCAAATTAATGACGCTACTCGGATCCTGTATGCGCCTTTCGGAAACGCAGTACACATCGATGGCGCGAGATTATAAAGTCCTAGCTAAGGAAGTCTGTTGTCCTATTTGGTAGTGTTCGGACGTTAAAAGCTCCTACGTGTAGTTTAGAGCGTGGTTTCAGGAGACCAGGAATAACGTTCCGCGTATTCGAATCGTTTGCCCTAGCGGTGCGAGGTGATAAAGAGACGTGAGGAGGGTTAGTCATGGAGATAAGAGAGGTATTAGGTGTAGGAAGAATTTGAATGTGACCAACTTGGTCTCGTGTGCTGTTACGGGTATGAGGGCTGATGTCACTTCCCGGCTGCCCACACCGTGGAAGGGTATTTCTTGAGGAACCTGCAAAGGAAGTTGGATTAGTGTTGGTCTTGACGACCTGGGAGCGTGACCGCAGAGCTCAAGGGACAACTGCGCACGGCCTTTTTGTGGAAGGTTTTTGACGTGTTAGCTCCGTTCTTCAAAGATCCTTACCGCCGGAGACGGAAATCCGTGAGGTAAAGTGAGGTGTGACATTTTTGGGGTCGACCTTTTCTAACCCCACCCCTCCTTGTGGGAAGGCAGCATCGCTGCAGATGCTGGTTGTCCGAGGGAAACACCTTACTGCTGTCACACCCCTCTACAGTCAGCAGTACGACTTCACCCTCAGACCTTGAGTTGCTGCTTTTCGTCTTACCATTCTCCAATCGACCTGCCTGGCATGGTAGAACCTACAGGAACACATGTTCCAGCCAATATAGCTCGGTTGGGTCATCACGATAGGCAAGCCCGACCACCGCGTCAAGGTAGCAGCTTCGGTCGGGCAGTAGAACTAAGTGTATTTAATTCAATAAACATATCTACGTTCCGTAAAATTAACACAAGATTATAGTTTGCACGAGTTGAAAAGCAGTTTTATCGTCAGACCGTTCATCCGCAGGCCTCGAAGTACTCTTTGTGTTG